TGGGAGGAGGAGGAGGAGGAGGAGGAGGAAGAAGAAGATTGGGGGGTCCTTGGTACTCTCTGAGATTGACTGTTTTCTTGCAGATGTTTCATTGCCAAACTAGGCAACATCATCAGTGATAGAAGGGAGTGTGGGAGGGAGGAGGAGGAGGAGGAGGAGAAGAAGAAGAAGAAGAAGAGAAGGAGGAGGAGGAGGAGGTCAAGGAGGAGGAGGAGGACAAGGACGAGGAGGAGGAGGAGGAGGAGGAAGAAGAAGATTGTGTAGACCTTGGTGCTCTCTGAGCTTGGCTGTTTTCTTCCAGATGTTTCATTGCCAAACTAGGCAACATCATCAGTGGTAGAAGGGAGTGTGAGGAGGAGAAGGACGAGGAGGAGGATGAGGACAAGGAGTAGGAGAAGGAGAAGGAGGAGGAGGACAAGGAGGAGGAGGAGGAGGAGAAAGAAGATTGGGGGGTCCTTGGTGCTCTCTGAGCTTAGGCTGTTTTCTTCAGATGTTTCATTACCAAACTAGGCAACATCATCAGTGCTAGAAGGGAGCGGGGTTTGCTGTCAACTGACCCCACTACTTACTAGCACTCATGATGTTGATGAAAACAGCTAAGCTCAGGGAGCACCAAGGACCCCTCAGTTCCAGTAGGAACAAGGAGAGCAACTCAACCAGTTCCATTGGACTTTCAAATGAAAGGTCGTCAGGAAACAGATGATATAGACAGGAACATCCACGGAGGGGGTCAAAAAAGTCAAAATGGAAACCCTTCATTGTGTAATTGGAGCCGTGTTCCATCCACGAAGGAAAAAAAAAAGAGCAGGCTTTGATTACTGACGTTCAAAATTTTGAAAGAAGTTTTGAAAGGAAAAAAAAAGAGGACATTTGTAGATACTTTGCCAAGTTCATTTCTGGACTCGGTGAAATGACAAAGGAGAGAAGAGTCTTCAAAATCAAAAGCTGCATGCAAATTTCCCCTCAGTGTGGCAGCAGCCGAGGTGGCGCAGCAGTTAGAGTGCAGTACTGCAGGCCACTTTAGCTGACTGTGTTCAGCAGGTCAGCGGTTCAAATCTCAGCGGCTCAAGGTTGACTCAGCCTTCCATCCTTCCGGGGTAGGTAAAATGAGGACCCAGATTGTTGGGGGCACATTGCTTACTGGTGTACACCGCTTAGAGAGTGCTTGCACTTAAAGCGGTATATAAGTCTCATAAAATAAATAAATAAATAAATAAATAACAATAAAAGTAAAAGATATAGGGCAAAAAAAAAACAACAGATCTCACTTAAAAGTCGGTTGATCTTGTAAACTCTTGAGAATCAAGGTGGAATTATTATTATTATGGATAATCGCAGAGTCAGCCAGATGTTCAGACTGGATTTGGCATTTTGTCTACCTATCGAGTCCTTACCCAGGACCTGGGATAGGCAGATGTGGATTATTAGGTAGGTTTTCCCAGTTGTTAGCCACTTTTCAATTTCTCCTCCTTGTAGTATATTGTTGAACTCTTTGGCAACGAGTGGGTGTATAACAGTTAGATGTTTCAACCAAAACCCATGCAGTTCATCTTCACCTGGTGCTGACCAATTTTTGATTTTCCTTGCTCTTTTTTCTACCATTTTTGTTGTTATTACTAGTTCTTTCATTTCAACTTCTGTTTTATTTGCATCCATCTCTTTTAACCAAGCCGCATCCTTGTTGTATTTCTTTGGGTTATCCCATATCTGCTTCCAGAACTGCACTGTTTCTTCCTTCTCAGGTACTGACTGATTTCTTGCAGTTTCTCCATTGATGGATTGGTAGAAATGTTTCTGATTGGATTGAAATTGGAGGTTCTGCCTATAGTTTGCAATTCGAGCTTCATATCTACTGATTTTCCTGGCTATAGCTGTTATTTGTTGCTTTATTATTTCCAGTGCTTCCTTGATCTTCCTTGTTTCTAAGTGGTATTTCTTCTTCTTCTTCTTCTTCTTCTTCTTCTTCTTCTTCTTCTTCTTCTTCTTCTTCTTCTTCTTCTTCTTCTTCTTCTTCTTCTTTCTTCTTCTTCTTTCTTCTTCTTTCTTCTTCTTCTTCTTCTTCTTCTCGATCATCGCACAGTCAGCCAGATGTTCAGACTGGATTTGGCATTTTGTCTACCTATCGAGTCCTTACCCAGGACCTGGGATAGGCAGATGTGGATGTTTGATGGTATTACAGATATCGTCGCAGGATGGAAGCAGTTCCTAATAAGGCCGCCTTTTGCAATTGACTAATAGCGAATTTGTCAATGCCAATGGTGTTCAAGTGGTGCTCCAGTTGTTTTGGGATTGCACCCAAGGAGCCTATGACTATTGGTACTACCCTTGCTTGCTTTTGCCACAGTCTTTCTATTTCTATTTGTAGGTCTTTGTATTTTGTTATCTTCTCCAGTTCTTTCTCTTCTATTCTGCTGTCTCCAGGCACTGCCACGTCCACTATCCAGACTTTTTTGTTTTTCTTATCGACAATTGTTAAGTCTGGGGTGTTATGTTGCAGGTGCTTCTTCTTCTTCTTCTTCTTCTTCTTCTTCTTCTTCTTCTTCTTCTTCTTCTTCTTCTTCTTCTTCTTCTTCTTCTTCTTCTTCTTCTTCTTCTTCTTCTTCTTCTTCTTCTTCTTCTTCTTCTTCTTCTTCTTCTTCTTATTCTTCTTCTTATTATTATTATTATTATTATTATTATTATTATTATTATTATTTATCCTTTCTGTTGCAGACTGAGTTGGGAATTCAGCAGCTTTAAGCACACCGATCATTCTTTACCATTAACTCTCCTTAGGAAATGAGGGTGAACAAGCTTGGCAGGAAATTATGCAAAACCACCATGATAAAGCGTTTATATGCATTTGGGGAAAGATAAAACTGAGCCCCAGGAAAGCGTCAATCTGCTGCAAAGTGTCTTGATACATGTGAATGGAGCCGGTGCTGTCCCTTAAAATAGCAATAGGAGTATGTAATCCTTCTCTGCAGCAAATTTGGTTTTTCTTGATTCCCTACCCCCCCCCCACACACACACAATTGATGGCTATGAATTACTTCTTCTGTATCATCACATAAACACTAGTGTAAAGTGTATTCTGGTCACCACAATATAAAAAAAAAGATGTTGAGACTTTGGAAAGAATGCAGAGATGAGCAGCAAAGATGATTAGGGGACTGGAGGCTAAAACATACAAAGAACAGTTACAGGAGCTGGGCATGGCTAGTTTAATGAAAAGATGCGTTGGGGTGACATGATAGCAGTCTCCCAATAGTTGAGGGGCTGCCCCAGTGGTGCAAACTAGCTGGGTCAGCTAGTTTGCACCACTTCGGCAGAACCGGTAGGTAATTTTTTGTTGCCCAAGCTCAGAATGGACTTCCAGAAGCAGCATCCACACAGAGAACTGGTTGTTCACATATTTGAATCCCACCACTGGGCTGCCCAAAAGAAAAAAAAAAAAAAAAGGGGGGGGGGCAACCTATTCTCCAAAGCACTTGAAGGCAAGACAAGAAACAATGGATGGAAACTAAACAAGGAGAGAAGCAACCTGGAACTAAGGAGAAATTTGCAGACAGTGAGAACAATCAACCAGTGGAACAGCTTGCCTCCAGAAGTTGTGGGTGCTCCAACACTGGAGGTTTTTAAGAAGAGATTGGACAACCATTTGTCTGAAATGGTATAGGGCAGTGGTGGCGAACCTATGGCACGGGTGCCAGAGGCGGCACTCAGAGCCCTCTCTGTGGGCACGTGTGCCGTCGCCCCAGTCCTAGGCCTTCAGCTGGGTTTTATAAAACTTTTTTGCTTTAGGCCTCCGCCATGTGCAAAAATCACCCATAATCACCATTTTTGACCTTCCCAGTCAGAGCCCCACAGGCTAAATCAATGGGGGCAGCTGGATGCAGTTAATGACTGTAGGATTCATTTAACAATTAAAACTGTTTAAAACTGTGGCAGGCAAGGTTATAAAACAGCGCCGTGGTGGTGCAGTGGTGAGAATGCAGCATTGCAGGCTAACTCTGCATTCTAACTGCCAGCAGGTCGATCCTGACCGTCTCAAGGTTGACTCAGCCTTCCATCCTTCCAAGGTTGGTAAAATGAGGACCCAGATTGTTAGGCTAACTCTGTAAACTGCTCAGAGAGGGCTGTAAAGCACTGTGAAGTCTAAGGGCTATTGCTAAAATCCGGTAACAACCACCTTGCTTAACATTGTTGTGTGAATCATTGCAACTGCTAAGTTAGTAACATGGTTGTGAAGTGAATCTGGCTTTCCCCTTGACTTTGCTTGTCAGCAGGTCCCAAAAGGGGATCACGTGATCCTGGGATACTGCAATGGTCATAGACGTGAGTCAGTTGCCAAGCATCTGAATTTTGATCATGTGCAATGGTCGTAAGTGTGAAATATGGTCATAAATTGCTTTTTCCAGTGCCATTGTAACCGTGAGTGGTCACTAAATCAACTGTTGTAAGTCAAGGACTAACTGTATTTGGATAATCATGGCTAGCTATGTCTATTGATGATTTATGAGTCATTGTTGGGAAAAGTAAAGCTTTAGACCAACTTTGGACCACTTCATGCCCTTCAAGTGTATTTAGACTTAAGTCTCTATACTAGTTCCCATATTTCCTGAACTTTCCAAAAATTATTGGAGCTAAAATCCTAAATTCCTGGAAGACACCAATTTGGAGAAGGATGTTAATTCAATTTATATTTTGATTTGCTCCAACAAAATCATTCTTTCTCATGAAGGGAGGCAAATATACGTGTCCCGGGACAATGTTGCAGGATCCAACAACTTCTCTCTCCTGTATCCATTCCACTGGAAAGAGGCTCTCTGAGGATGGACTCCAAAAACTCAGAAGACTAGACCTCTGGTCCCGGTGACTGATCCAGATTGGATTCTGCAACTTTCTTTCCATTTTTAAGGGTTGTCTTCTTCTCTGGGAGATCTTAAAATGGTTGCATCAGAGTTGCAAGAAAGTCTGTGTCTTTGCACCCAGCTAGTTTTCCTGTTCTCTTTTTCTAGCTCAGAATGTGGTACGCAGTTCCTTGGCGGTAATCGAAACAACTGAGTGCATTCAAGGACAAGGAGAAGGCTACCGGGGTACCGTGAACACCATCTGGAGTGGGATTGAATGTCAGCGCTGGGACTCTCAGGTGCCTCACCAACATAACTTCACGCGGGAGAACTTTAAGTGCAAGTGAGTCCCCCACATGAGGAACACAAGTTAGATAAGACTAGTTGAGCACAATATGGAGAACAATCATTAAGGTTTCTAATCCAAGGGCAGAAATTAGTGGTATTGTGTCTTTTGGAATTCTTTGTCATCGCACCTCTTTAACAAGCTGACATAGAGAACACGGTGGCTCACGAGGTTAGAATGCTGGGTTGCCAATTGGCAGGCATGTTGTGTTCGAAACCTGTTGCTGCTATGAGATGGGGTGAGCTCCTATCACACGTTCCAGCTCCTGCCATTCCAGCAATATCGAAAGTGGGTGACTGCAAGTAGAATAATGGGCACCACTTCGGTGGGCAACTTCACAGGGATGTGAAAGGAGCTCTCTGTTGGGTGTCCTTTGTGCAACAGTGATATCACTGGCAAATCCTTTTGCCACAGAACCACTTTGATGCTTCCGACACTGGAAAACAAAAACAACAAGTTTACACGTCATTTTTGCTGTAAGAAATAAATCCTCTCTAGTGTTGTTATTTGTTGTGGAGATGATCCACGGTTCTTTCTTATGTAGTGTTCCAAGCTTAGGGATTTGTGAGACACCCAGTTTGCAGCCTTTGTGTGTCATTTGGGGTGGGGCAATAATATTGGCAGAAATATGTTGGGTTCTCTGTATCCATTTCTGACAAGTTCTTTGAGCAGATGACTTCTTTAGGTATGTCTTGTAAATGGCAATAAAATTCCCTTTTTATAACCCTGTAATCCCTTAATGTCGGGTAGAGTTGGGGTGACCGGACGGAACTGAGCATTTACTGGCTGGATGCCCTTCCTGACACCTAGGTGGAGTTTGCAACAGATATTTTCTTCTTGGCGCCCTGATAGAGAAACATCTACCTAGGACTGAACTCGCAATCTTCCAAGTGGGAGTCAAGGGTTTTCACTACTAGGCCACCATGCCTCTTTGTCCTGTAAATAGCAATATGGTGGCTGTATGTATGTGCAGATGTTTGGACCAACATTCCCACATTTGACCACAGCTGGGAGAGCTGTACACAAGAGTTATGGTTTTTTTCTGATCTTGGACACCTCTTCTCCATCTTTCTGTATTTTGGGAGAAGCTGCAGCTTTGCCTTCCCCCATCACTGGCTGCTTAGTTGACCTGAAGGAACCCTTATTCTGTCACATCTGTTCACCTGTAGATGATGATGATGATGATAATGATAATAATAATAATAATAATAAAGTTCGAAGGGACCTTGGAGGTCATTGAGTCCAACCTTCTGCTCAGGCAGGAAACCCTACACCATCAGTTGAAACAGTCCAAGCCCCACCATCAAGTCTTCTCCTCCTAATTAGGATTGCTGCTGTTCTAGAAGCTCTTGTGGTATGGAACCACGATCTTCTGAAGCTCTTCATTCTTCATTACTTAAATTGATTGGCTGGTTGTTGTGAAAGGATTCACTCTCTGTATCTTCAATCTTCAGCAGGACATCACCATGACCAGAATCTTGTTTGAGGGTAAGTGAGCCTTCATGTGTTATAACTTTGTGAAAGTGTGCTTCTTTGGCAAGGTGGACAGGCAATTTTACTTTTATCAGTAGGAAGAGTATATTTGTAGATTAAGATTGAACAGTGGGATCCTTGGTGCTCTATGAGCTTGGTTGTTTTCTTGCAGATGTTTCATGACCCATCCAGGTAACATCATCAGTCCTGGAAATGAAACATCTGCAAGCAACCCTCCAAGCTCAGAGAGTGTCAAGGACCCCATAATTTTATTTATTTTTATTAGGAGTGCTGTAGTGTGATCAAAAATTCTACTTGTTCACCAGGGGGTGCTCCATTTTGTATTGATTTTTACACAAATGATGTGTAAAGAGGTGGATTAACTATGGGCCCTGATGTATGGATTCTTTCCTCAGCGTTATCAGCTGTTCCCTTTATTTTTCAATTTAATTCTTGGCATCTGGTTCTGATGGAAAGAAAAGAAAATGGTTGTGGTGTGAACGCCCATAGAAGCACAAGGCTGAGTGAAGGCACTCAACCCATCATCCATTGTGAGCCAGAATTAGAAACATGACACCACTGGAGCTCCAGAATGGAAAAGATGGGGACGTTCCAGTCTCAATAAAAGAAAATATTTATAGCTCAGGGTTGAACTGTGGACTCCTTGGTGCTCTCTGAGCTTGGTAGTTTTCTTGCAGACATTTCATCACCCAGCTAGGCAACATCATCAATGCTAGCCAGTTCTAGTATTTTTTAATTCAAGTTTCACATCATCTGGTAAAATTTAGCCGAGAGATATTGTGCTTTTGTTTCTTTTTTTCCAGGATGCACAATTTAACGTTAGTCTACGTCCCCAATGAAGATCTTAGGACATGATGGTTACAATCTGGCTTCCATTTGAATCTTCTTGTTCTTCCATGGAACATGATATCCAGATGTTGGTCAGCTGCTCTAGAGCTCGTCACCAATTTCCAACCAGGCTGAATACAGTGGAATTAGCAGCCATCGTGAAATTAAAAGCCACTCTTCTGGATGCGCTTTATCAAGGGGAGAAATGTTCCTGAAAGCTGGGAATCTTTGGCTATCCTTTGAAATGCAAAACTCATTTGAATTTGGAAGATTAAACACCGCAGTTGGAAGATGGAAATGGAAACAACTGGCAGTTGGAATTTTGGAGACAAGGACTTTTGAGTTGGAATCAGTACTGGCTGGTATGGACCCTTTCAAAAATTGGTCTTGTGGAAACCGGATGGACAAACTGTTTCTAGAATTTCTAGAAATGTTTCTAGAAACTGCCTATTTCTAGAATTTTGTATGTTTCTAAATTAAAAAAGAAAAGCTGGAAGTATATGGTGTAAAGTCTCCAGTGTATGCTCATTCGCAAAAACCTAAGCGTTTGATTAAAAGCTGTCCCTGTTTGTTCCTTTTTAATGGCTGGCACAGCAATGCACAAATTTTTTTGTAGGCTTTTTTTTTTTTTGCACCAGTATATTCATTATTGGTTAATTATACTCGTTTCTTACATTTTACTCTCCGCTCAGTGTGACAAACGTGGTTTCCTACTTTTCTATGTAGGAAAAAAAAACGGTTACAAATCAACTCGTCTCACTGATTTTTTGGCTCTTCTGTAGGCCGCTGTTCTCTTAAGAAAAAAAAAAAAAACAGCTGAAAGTGTATTTGCAATTATGTTCACTTCTGCCAGCTCAGAAATACTGAGAACAGGAAGACACCACTTTGGGTCCAACAACAATAGTAAAAAATTGCTTCATTTCACACTAAAGGAAAATAGGAAAAAAAAAATTACCATTCAAAACATTACAAGTCAATAAGTGCTTCTTCTTCTTCTTCTTCTTCTTCTTCTTCTTCTTCTTCTTCTTCTTCTTCTTCTTCTTCTTCTTCTTCTTCTTCTTCTTCTTCTTCTTCTTCTTCTTCTTCTTCTTCTTCTTCTTCTTCTTCTTCTTCTTCTTTTTCTTCTTTTTCTTCTTTCTTCCTTCTTCTTCCTTCTTCTCCTCCTCCTCCTTCTTTTCTCCTCCTCCTCCTCCTCCTCTTCTTCTTCTTCTTCTTCTTCTTCTTCTTCTTCTTCTTCTCCTCCTCCTCCTCCTCCTCCTCCTCCTCCTCCTCCTCTTCTTCTTCTCCTCCTCCTCCCCTCCTCCTCCTCTTCCTCCTCCTCCTCCTCCTCCTCCTCATTAATTGATGTTTATAAACCACTGTACACAACTGTAAACAACACTGGATACAACAGTGATCCAACCACAGTATTTACTATAAACTTTTGTTCTACTATCCTGGAACTCAGCTCCATTGGTTTTGTGAATCAGTTCCAAAGGTAGTTTGCGCATGTTTTCAAAATTTAGAACTGTGAAATATAATTATTTAAAGTATCCGGAACGAGTGATAAAACTTGTCCAACCTGGACTGATCCTAAGAAAGCGAAACATGATCAGATCTGGTTAATACTTGACTGAAGGACCACTGGGAAAGTTTGAATTATAGGTGAGATTGGGAAATTTTAAAAAAGACAAAACGACTGGATGGTACTGGTTGCCAAGAAAACATCATAAGTCAGCAGGAGTTGAGATTGGTTTGAAGAAGTAATTCACACCGTGAAGTGGAGACGTTCTTAGAAATTTAAAGTCTAGATTTTGGATTGATGATGTTTGCATACCGGAATAAAATGAGGAGATGGAGCCCTGTGTTCCGGTCTCAAAATTTAATCCCTTTTCACTGGGTTCTGTTCTGCTCAGTAAATTCCATGGGTTTCTGTAGACCTTCCTTTCAGATTAAATGTGCAAAGAAACCAGGGTATAAAAGTCTCATGGCAATCTTCTAGGCTTTTACTCTGAACACTGTCCTGCTTCAATCAATCATGGAGGATTGGAGTGAGCAAATTCAAGAGTTCAGCCAAGTGTGTGTAACGCTTTGCCTTCAAGTAAAGGCATAAACAAATCTGTGAGTGTTTCTCCTCCTTATAATAGTAAGCCAAATTTCATACATTGTGCTTATTAGTATGGGGGTATCCCCTATAAATCCTTTTTTTCAGAAACCTTTTGGAACCATGCAAAAAAGGAAATAAAGTCTGGTTCCTGTAACCTGTCTCTTGGGCGCCCTTAGAAACTTCCAAATATTATTTTGGACCGCAGTTTAGCAAAAATAGTGGTATGCCTCTACAATCTCGCTCTCAATTTCTGTGTCCTTTTGATGATACCGTGTTTTCCTAGCACGTTAAAAAATGTCTCGTGTATCTAAATTAAGAAAAATCAAGCTCGAATAGTCAACACCGAAAGTGTTGAAAGCTGACAGGGTCTTAGGACTTCCAGTCTTGATGGATTTTCTGTTATAATTTCTTCAAAAATGCAGATGGGGAGGTGTGATGTTGGAAACAGGCTCAAATGGGCCAATTTTATTCTTGACCATTGTCCTGAGTGATGATCAAACAGTCTTTCAAAATGAAAAGCTCTACTGTGCTGAACTCGGTGGGGGATGAAATGGACAGCCATATTTGCATTTTTCCAGAGGCTTATAACTTTAATATAAGCAGAAAGTTTGTTTTAAGGAGATTCCCCCGAAGATCAGATATTCAGCTGCAGTGGGAACACATGGATAAAGTTTCTGAAGGCATATATTCTGTACAGTAGGGTCCAATTTCCTAATTAAATTAGTGACAAAAACTCAGGGGCTGATTATAATAATACTAACATCCATTCAGAACAATAGGCGGGAGCTGATTTTGGTAGAGTATTAAATCTGGCATTAATAATGGGTTTCAGATGTGGTTGAGATTTGTAAGGAAGCCTTTGCAATAAGCCCCAAATTAGTATAATACCGGTTCTTAAGAAGCTGTTGTTCTGGCCTCGATTCCTAGTGCTGGTTATCTTGAAAACATACATAGACATGGAATATGTGCTTTGGGCTATTCTGCGAGTTGTATTGATCTGGTGCCTTCCTATTGGTTGATTGGTCTGGTGATAGCTGGCGATTGGCTGCTGTTTCCTTGTGCTGTCAACTCCTTGGCCCCTAAGTACTTGATAAGCTGGTGGTAAATGAGCACTCCTGTTGACTGACAAGGGGTCCATTTCCCAGGCTTCAATCCATTTCCCTGGCTGTTTTTGTACCTGCTCAGCCAGCAATCTTAGTAGCTGTGAAAATTGAATGTGCGTCCTTTGTCACTGCAATGTGAGGCTACCCATGAATTTGGGTCTTCCCGATTGACTGCTCACTTGTGTTCTTGCACGTAGACATATCAAGCAATGCAACGCAGCGTAGGATCTGAGAGATTGGATAGTTGGGGAGAATATAGGTAGCCGTTGACTTGAGATTCATTCATTTAGCAATTATTTGAAGGGATGAAAAAGTGATTTATGGCTGGTCCTTGGATTAAACTGTTGCAGCATGTCTAAGGTCACGTGATCAAAATTCAGGCATTTGGTACTGGGTGTCATATGTATGATGGTTGCAGCATCCCAGGGTTATGTGATCCAGGGATCCTTTCCAGCTGGCTTCCCATAAGAAAACTCATTAAGAAAGCTGGATTCGCTTAACAAATACGCAATTCACTTAACAACTGCAGTAATTGACAAAACAGGCTATCAAATTGGGTGAGACTCTTTCAACTGCCTTTTCCTAATCATGGAAATTCTAGCCCCAGTTGTCATCATAAGTCAAGGACTACTTGCACTCATGAAGTTCAGGGGACAAAGCCATTTTATGGTGGCCATCTGAGAATATGAGTGATCCCACGCTTCTTTGTATGTCACAAATACAGTCATTAAAGTCACTTTATTTGAACACCTTTTGGCATTTAGTTGTTCACTGTGCCTCGTTATGCTGTGTATATTCCTCTTTTCCTTTGGTTTGTCTAATATATCTTTCGTAGCTTGTATATATCTTATAAAGCCAGTTTGGTCTAGTGGTGAAGGCACCAGGCTAAAAGTCAGGAGGCCATGAGTTCTAGTCCTGCCTAAGGCCTGAAAGCCATCTGGGTGATTTGGGGCCAATCACAAGGAGATGGTGAGTTCTAGTCCCGCCTTAGCCATGAAAGCCAGCTGGATAGCTTTGGGCCAATCAGAGGAGACTGTGAGTTCTAGTCCTGCCTTAGCCATGAAAGCCAACTGGGTGATTTTGGGCCAATCAGAGGAGACTGTAAGTTCTAGTCCTGCCTTAGCCATGAAAACCAGCTGGATAGTTTGGGCCATCAGAGGAGACTGTGAGTTCTAGTCCTGCCTTAGCCATGAAAGCCAACTGGGTGATTTTGGGCCAATCAGAGGAGACTGTGAGTTCTAGTCCTGCCTTAACCATGAAAGCCAACTGAATAGCTTTGGGCCAATCATAGAAGACAGTGAGTTCTAGTCCCGCCTTAGCCATGTAAGTGACCATGGGCCTGTCACACTCTCTCTCAGCCGAGCCCACCTCACAGGGTGGTTGTGAGGAAAACAGGAGGTGGAAGAATATTGAATGTGTTCACCGTCTTGAATTATTTGTAAAAAACTAATATCAGTGGGATGCAAGTAAATAAAAATAAATAAAATCCTCATCTATTCAAAGTCAGACCTCTGTCAGAAAAAAAAATAAAAATAAAAAAGCATCTTGGGCAGTGTTGGTTTCACAGTCTTTGGTTACGAACGTGTGAAATGGAACTATTTCTGTCAATGTTGCCAAAGCCCATACTACTATAAATTGAAATAATTTTATGAGCTGTGTAGCTGTGTGTATATGCACACTTGCTATTGTTGTTTTAACACATTCATTTTTCGGCAGAATCGAGTTAGTGACACCGTTATCAAGCAAAGTTTTCTTCCTTATGTGGGAGAAACTGAGCAGTTTGCCAGACATATGTTAGCACATTTATCATCCTCTTATTATTATTATTTTTTCCCTCAGGGATTTGAGAGAGAACTATTGCCGAAATCCAGACGGAGCTGAGGTACCCTGGTGCTTTACGACTAATCCAAATATTCGGATTGGAGATTGTTCCCAAATCCCAAAATGCAACACATCCACGGAAAAAGGTAACGCCGGCTACACAGATAAGGAAGGTTTAAAATAATATACTGAGGATTATGATAATCTGCCCTGAAGTGATCCTGAAGACTTGGAGCATGATAGAGATCTGGTTAAGTACGATGGCTTGTAGGAAAAAGCAATATAATATTGTAGCTAAGCTGACGCATTCACTAAATCCGTTGTGTTTTTGACAATGAGTTGCTTCTTGGCAGATGCATCTTTGAGTGCTGGTATTTGATATGTTATAGAAAAAAGATACATGATGCAAGAAAATGGTTGGAAACTAACCAAAGAGAGAAGCAACCTGGAATTAAGGAGAAAGTGAGGACAATTAACCAGTGGAACACCTTGCCTTCAGACATCGTGGGTGCTCCATCACTGGAGGTTTTTAAGAAGAGATTGGATAGATATTTGTCTAGAATGGAATAGGGTCTCCTGCTTGAGCAGGGGGTTGGTTTAGAAGACCTCCAAGATGAGGACAATTAACCAGTGGAACAGCTTGCCACCAGAAGTAGTGGATGCTCCATTACTGAAGGTTTTTAAGAAGACACTAAACAGTTACTTATCTGAAATGGTATAGGTTCTCCTACTTGAGCAGGGGGCTGGACTAGAAGACCTCCAAGGTCCCTTCCAGCTCTATTCTATTCTAAAAGACACTGAGACCCGAGAAAGAATGCAGAGAGGAGCAACAAAAACCATAAAGGGTCTAGAGGTGAATCGTACGATGAATGATTCCAGGAGCTAGGAATATTTTGTGGGATCCTCAATCATCTTTGATATTTGTGGTTTTGTTGCAGACATTTCATGACCCAACTAGGAAACACCATCAGTGCTAGAAGGCGGTGGGGTTTGGTCTTAGTTAATATACCAATGTTATGGTGGTGGTTCTTGGTGGTTCCTTAATTAGGCTGTGTTTATTGTTTGATAGTTTGTCTGTATTGCTAGTTCCTTAATTCAGGTATCATTTACTGATTGACTGTTGGTCTAGCGTTAATTTTTATATTCAACTTCTTTTCTGGATCTCTGCTTATCTATATTTTGTTTCTGACTAATGTGTTTCTGAATCTTGATCACTTAATAAGTAGTAGATAACAAATGGCTTTTCTTTCTACTAAACATTTTTCTCTTGGTTTCATTGATCCTCAGCTGGCTGGAAATAAACAGGTAGCCCTTGGTAAAATCTGTGATCAATACAGCCCTGCTGGAAAATTTTAGAGACTGCTACTAGATGTAGAATGACAGGGATAAATTTCAGGAATTTAGCAAATGGTTCAGTAGACACTGTAATAGAGCTGGTTGAGAGGCTCAGCAAGATGCCATCAAAGGTTATCTTGGTTTAACTGTTATCAGAAAGCTACCAGGGTTAGAATTGCACAGAAGACTTTTACAAGCTCCTATAGCTGTAGGATGCCCTGAGAAATTTACTGTGTGTAAATGTAAATCTATACATCTATTGTTCTTGTTTTAACCACCCAGTCATGTCTGACTCTAGCTGCCTTTATAAGCAAGTTTTCTGTATGCATATATCTCTACATATTTAAATATTATGGAAGAGGGAAATTGCAATATATTTGATAAGCAATGTCCATCAACAATTGAATGGCAGGGAGAGGTCTAGACCAACTCATCACAGCCAACTTGCCATGGCCAACATGCCACGGTCAAGTCACCATAGGACAGCTCACCATGGCCAACTTGCCACAGTAAACTCACCCTCGCCAACTCATCATGGCCAACTTGCTATGGTCAACTTACCATAGGACAACTCACCACGGCCAACTTGCCACAGTCAACTTGCCCTAGCCAACACATCATGGCCAACTTGCTATGGTCAACTTACCATAGGACAACTCACCATGGCCAACTTGCCACAGTCAACTCGCCCTAGCCAACTCATCATGGCCAACTTGCCATGGTCAACTTACCATAGGACAACTCACCATGGCCAACTTGCTACAGTCAACTCACCCTAGCCATGGCCATGGCCAACTTGTTATGGTCAACTTGCCATGGTCAACTCACTGAGGGACAACACACCATGGCCATTTTGCTATAGGATCAGAGAAATGGTGGACTAGGTCATTAAGGATAGGATGCCAAAGGAGAGACAAAAACTAAAAAAAAATAATTATTTTAAATAATTAAATTGAATTATTGAATTATTGTCCTATTCCAGCAGAGACAGGAAGACACAAGATTTCATCTATAGAGCAGTGTTCATCTACTTTAAGATGTGCAGACCTTAACTCCAAGAATTTCCCAGCCAGCATCCTGAGGAATGCTTCAAGTTTCCAAGTTGGAGAAACTTTATAGAGTTTTTATTTTGTAGTCATAGCTGATGGCAGCATCAACCCAAATCTTGACTGATGTTGAAGCAGGATTAGACCTAGGTACTTTCAGGAGAGATCTGAAAATCCCAACTAATTGTTTTTAAAAAATGTGGAAGAAGGCATGGGTAAATCACTTCTGGAGTGATGCCAAGAAAGCTTCGTAGACCTGCCTATAAAGTCACCAAAGGCCAAAGTTGACTCAAGGGATTCTTTGCTTTTATCTAGCTGGTGGTCTCTGGGTTTTAGCAAATAAGCAAAAGCGCTCCTACAAACTTAAAACCCCTCCATTTCTGCTGCAGCGTGCTGAGAACATCTGGATTTAAACCACAGTGCTGAGATATCCTGGCAGATTTCAAATACGTTAATGCATTGGCTGACCTTGTCAAGTTCACAAATTACCATTTAAACTAAAACATCTCCAGCACATCTGCAGAAGATGGCAGGAAGAAGACACTTATTTATTCCTGGATTACTTATTTACATCTTGAAACCTATTTATTGAGCTTCAAACCTATTAATCAATTAGAACAATTAAATCAGTGGAACGACTTGCCTCCAGAAGTTGTAGGTGCTGCAACACTGGAGATTTTTAAGAAGAGATTTGATCACCATTTGTCCAGAGTGGTATAGGGGGTTGGACTAGAAGACTTCCAAGGTCCATTCCAACCCTATTATTCTATGTTTTATGTTTTATATAAAACTAATGCATCTAACATGACTGGGACAAAGATGCAGGCTATACCTACCCCTGGTATAGAATCTCCTGCCTGAGCAGGGCGTTGTGTAAAAGGATTAACCCACCAATACCAAAAGGACACACTCAGACTCAGGTCAAAGTACATGACACAGGAAATACAAACAGGAACAGGAAACAACCGCAAGAGCCCCAGAAGGTATAAAAGCCCAGCACTCACTGCTCCGTGTGGTCAGTTTTTTTTTTTTTCAGAGCCATCTTTCTGTCTGGCTCTCCTCTTCAATAAACTAAAACCTTCTTTCTAAAGCAGTCTCCATTTTGTTTATTCCCAGCTTGGATTGGACCCTGATTAAGATTTTTTCTTTCAACACGCCCATGTGATACTCGCTAGCACCACCCAATTTTTGCTGCACAGGTGCTAGCATCACCCTGTTTTTGCCATGTGCCCTGTTTTCACCCTGAGGCACCCTTTTTGTATAGCAGCAGCACTGCTAGCACAAGTGAGGGTGTGAGCACGCACACCCAGGTACATGCACTGGCTAGTCTGTTCTTCGGCCCACTGGCCAACAGGCCATGACCTGCAGGTTGAGGACCCCTGCTCTATATTTTAAACATTTTCAAACTTGAGTTAAGGAGGGTCTAGAACGAATGGCTTTGTCTCAAATGGGAGCAGTGATAATGCGATAGTTTCTCTTAACAACTTTGACCTGGTTTTTCTTTTAATCCGAAACACACAGATTGTTTTCGAGGAAATGGGACGAATTATATGGGCAATTTAGCCCAGACACGGTTCGGCTTGACTTGCTCTATGTGGGATAAAAACATTCAAGATTTAAGAAGGTATGTACAAAATTAATTCAGAGTTATATTTTCCCCTCCTAGACAGGGTGGAACATTGTAAGGTATCATACAAATGTCTTCCAGGTTTCAGGCTGTCCAGTTTTAGCCTTGATTTATTTTCTTTCTTATTAATCGGATATATTCTTTCTTTTTTTTTATAGAGGGGATGGATGTTTTAAGAAAAAAAGTGCAGACGATGTGATCGAGGAAAAGAGATTTAGGAAGAGTTACAATTAAATCCTGTAGTCAACCCCAAATTCCCGTTTCACTGTTTTTAGAATACCATCATGTCATCTTATGCAATTATTTAAAAGGTTGTGTTTTTTTTTTAAAAAAAAGAACCTAAGAAATTATGTAAATTTAGCAATAGCAACAGCACTTAGACTTATATACCACTGCTTCAGGATGCTTTACAGCCCCCTCTAAGTGGTTTATAGAGTCAGCGTATGGCCCCCAACAATCTGGGTCCTCATTTTATAAACCTTGGAAGGATGGAAGGCTAAGTCAACCTTGAGCTGGTCAGGTTCTTTCTTTCTTTCTTTCTTTCTTTCTTTCTTTCTTTCTTTCTTTCTTTCTTTCTTTCTTTCTTTCTTTCTTTCTTTCTTTCTTTCTTCTCTGTATCTATCTATCTAACTATCTATCATCTATCTATCTATCATCCACCCACCCACCCACCCGCCCGTCTATCTATATCTATATCTATATCTATATCTATATCTATCTATCTATCTATCTATCTATCTATCTATCTATCTATCTATCCATCTATCCATCTATATCTCTCTATGTTTATCTCTAACTGGTTTCTACAGCTGCCCATTTCAGGAAAGCTCACAATTCCGAAACATATATTACAATGAAAATCTTGAAAACAATGTAAACCAATGAGAACAAGAAAGACCATTAAAACATTGCGAGAACTTTAGAATCCACCATGCTGCATTTCCTCTTTTGAGTGGGATTTCATAGGTGTGTATATCATATCAAGGCTGTATATTACATATGGCTTGCTTATTATGGTGACATATCAATGTTTCTCCAAGAACGCTACAGCAGATGAGATGCCTACATCCTATTTGATCATTCCTCTGTGACAAGCTAGGATTAAGAGACAGTGACTGGTCCAGATTTATTTCAGAATTAGCTAGCTTGGAATCCAGGTCTCTCTGAACTAAATGCAACCGTCTTCTAGAATGTGGTTGGGACAAAGCTAATCCTTCCTTGATGCAATGATCAGCTGGGTTGGCTGGCCTTTATATAAATATACTTTGGTATACACAGTGTTCTTTTGTGGGTTTCTCCAGTACACTTATGACTGTCAGTTCACAATTCTTTCACCACACTCAGACCACTTACTTCTGAGACACATGCTTTTTTTTCCCTCCCCAACCATAACATCTTGGCCTCAACTTTGAGAAATGGCTTCATAAATTTTGTTTCTTCTGCAGGGTGATTTGGTAGAAGTGTTGAATTTAATGTGGCTTCTATTTGTTCACCGTTTATTGTTTTCCACCCCAAAGAGCACGGAATGCAACTTTAATGTGTGCACGTTTGCACTTCAATAGATATTTTTAAAGTCCTGATTATGTAACAAGTGGCATGTTTTGTCACTCTTAATTTCTAATTCTTCTGCCTAATTTTCCTCTGACATTCTTCTGGCTTCTGTGGTTCCTGGGTTTACAAATGTTTTTATTTAGCATTATCTGAAAAGCCAGCAATGTTCATTTGATAACAATTAAATATGAATTAGATAACGTGTATACTTCTGTTTTCATAATAATTCTAGTATTTTTTTTAAAAAAGATGTACAAATAAAAGCTAGCAAAAACTAATAATCAGAAGAGAGATAAAGAGCAAAAAGGAAGGTAGAAATAGAGGGGCAGGAAGAAGAAGAAGAAGAAGAAGAAGAAGAAGAAGAAGAAGAAGAAGAAGAAGAAGAAGAAGAAGAAGAAGAAGAAGAAGAAGAAGAAGAAGAAGGGGAGGGGAGGAAGAGGGAAAGAGGAGAAGGAGAAGAAGAAGAAGAAGAAGAAGAAGAAGAAGAAGAAGAAGAAGAAGAAGAAGAAGAAGAAGAAGAAGAAGAAGAAGAAGAAGAAGAAGAAGAAGAAAGAGGAGGAGGAGGAGGAGGAGGAGGAGGAGGAGGAGGAGGAGAAGAAGAAGAAGAAGAAGAAGAAGAAGAAGAAGACGAAGAAGAAGAAGAAGAAGAAGAAGAAGAAGAAGAAGAAGAAGAAGAAGAAGAGGAGGAGGAGGAGGAGGAGGAGGAGGAGGAGGAGGAGGAGGAGGAGGAGGAGGAGAAGGGGAAGAAGAAGAAGAAGAAGAAGAAACAAAAATATATACGAAGAATGACTTCCAACTTCTTCTTCCAAGGATATAAGAAACACATTCAGCTCTTAGTTTAACATGCAATCCAGTGTCCATTTTTTTCCCCAAAAGGGGGAAAACATCTTTTTATTTTTTTATTTTTAACAATCATCAACTCCATATGTTATAATTTGACTTTTTTCATTTCCTGGCAAAGGTCCCCGAATGGCTTCCAATTGCAGATAAATTGTAAGAGAAGATCAGGCAGAGCTGAGGGTGAAATTAAGCAGTTTAGGGTCATTGTGTTTCCACATACGCCCCAAGTCCAACCCCTCTTGAATTCCGCTGACCCCTATCTGGCACCAATTTTGTGTTGAACTTTAGTTGACCAAATTCTTGTGAATAAGCTTGAAGAAATCTTCTCTGCTGCAACCCTACAAATGGTGCTGATTCTTTGCGCCTGACATATATTTCTTCACAAGAGCCATTTATTTAGTGATCATTGGCTAAATCTCTCTCTCTTTCTCTCTCTCTCTCCTATCTATATCTATCTATCTATCTATCTATCTATCTATCTATCTATCTATCTATCTATCTATCTATCTATCTATCTATCTACCCATCCATCCATCCATCCATCCAGTGGTGGGTGAACAACTGGTTCTCTGTATGGGTGCCACTTCCAGAAATTCATTCTGGGCCTGGGCAACAAAAAATTAGCTATCAGTTCTGCCAAAGTGGTGCAAACTGGCTGAATCCCACCACTGTATCTATCTTCCATCAATCTCTCTCTCTCTCCCTACCTATCTATCTCCTACCTATCTATCTACTCACCTACCTACCTACCTACCTCTGTCTGTCTGTCTGTCCGTCCGTCCGTCCATCCATCCATCCATCCATCCATCCATCCATCCATCCATCCATCCATCCAGTGGTGGGATTCAAATATATGAACAACCAGTTCTCTTTGTGGATGCCGCTTCCGGAAGTCCATTCTGCGCTTGGGCAACAAAAGATTAGCTACCAGTTCTGCCGAAGGGTGGGAACCGGCTGAATCCCACCACTGAGACCAGGTCTTACTTTCGGGGAAACACGGTATCTTCCACATTTCTCAACAAATGACTCTGGGCGGAATCCAATAAAATATTATAAAATATAAAACAGTTTATATAAAAGTTTAAAAAAGTGAAGAGGAGGTGGAATGTTAAAATTAATTAAAAGATCAAGGAAGACTTTCAGAGGACTAACAGTCGCACAGCTGCATGATCTTCTGGGCTCTCCATGAGAGACTACGGAACCATGTTTTAACTCCTTTCCAGAAGGCCAGGAGAGTGGGGGAGGTGGGAGTCTGCCTCACCAGTGAGGGAAGACTATTCCACAAGGGAGGGGCAACAGCAGAGAAGGCTCTCTTCTTGGACCCCATCAGTTGAAATTATTTGATTGTGTCTGCAGCATATCTTCCCTCCCTGATCAGGTGGGACGAAGGTGGTAATCAGATGGTTCCATAAGTCTTTATTAACCATTCCTCTATTATAAGTATTGCAAAGTTAGTACCAGGCACAAAAGACCAGGTCCCCACATGAAGTTCCAATGAAACTGATTTATAGCTAAATAACCTATGCATAGGGATCTTTTCAGAACTTGCTTGGAGTTAAATAAGGGCCAACGCACTTCAAGGAGGGGTTGGACTGTGTTCCTTTGCAGCTACATAGAGATGCTAGGCTAATTCCTCTTTTGATGCCGCCCCACCCAGTTCTTTCTCCTACAGATAAGATGATAAGGTATACACTTCTGCAATAACTTATATACTTCTGAAAAAGTGGTGATCTTAGCGCTGTGTGTGTGTGTGTATTTTTTCCTTTTAGGCACCTCCCTATATATAAAGACCTAGATATAGGGAAGGTGAAGAAAAATTACTGTCGCAATCCAGATGACGATGCTCACGGACCTTGGTGTTACACCAGCAATCCTCAGATCCCTTGGGACTACTGTCGTATATCCAGATGTATGTATTTGGGTCATTCCAAAAGATCTGGAATGGCCTAATTAAAAGGGATATGAATGAGAGGAATTATGCCTTGAGCTTGTTGGTGCCAACAAGCAAGGTTTAGGTCTTATGACAAGGATGAAAATAAGTAAGAATGTATTTGCTTTGTGACCACATGATTTGATGTGGGTCTTTTGACATCACTGCTGTTTGTAATGGCACTGGACAAACTACTGTTCTTCCAATGGGAAAAAAAAGTTGTACAAATGCTTCCCACCCCCATTAAAAAAAATCAACCCTTCACATTCTGGAATTCTCCAGGAAGAAGAAACCGCTTAGCAGCTAGTAATTTCCTTTGGATAATATTCCCAATTAACAATATACTACTTCCTATTAAGTTTGCTAATCTGTAAAAGAGAAATTAAAGCTGACAAGAACTTTTGGGGATTATTTAAGAGATTTCTAGAAGTTGCAGATACCGTATACAGATATATAGATGAGATACAGATCTGAGCTAAGTCTGTGCACATGCTTGTTCATTGTTCAAGTCAAGAATGGAGGTTCGTTCACCGAGCTTGTGGGTTGGTTTCTGAATGTTTTGTTACTAGGCCAGTGCTTCTCAACCTTGACAATTTTAAGGCATGTGGACTTCAACTCCCAGAATTCCACAGCCAGCATTGCTGGCTGTGGAATTCTGGGAGTTGAAGTCCACATGCCTTAAAATTGTCAAGGTTGAGAAACACTGTACTAGGCTAACTAACATCTTCAGTGGAGTTTAGGGGAAGTCATTGGTGTTCTTCTCCTCATAAGAGCTTTGTGTGATCAGTAGGTCACATCAGGTGAGGGTCACATCAGCTGAGGGTCTTGTGATCTTGTGAGAGTTTTGATATGTCTGGAATAGACAGACAGACAGACAATGGAGAGCTGTGCTGGTCCATGACTGTAATGAAGATTGAATGAAGATGACAGACAGAGAGACAGACTTAATTTGGGCAAAATATGTTTCTATACAAACATATCATGGTGAGAAAATTGCATCAATTAAAGTGTATTTTTTCCTCATTTTCCTGTGTGTTGTGTTCTGGAATATCCCTCCAGAAATATGGTGTGCTTCTTAGAAAGTGTGGAAATAGTTATTAGAGACCACACGGATCAAAAAAGTGTAAAAAAAAATGTTTACATCGTGAGAACATTTAAAATATTGACGATCCTGTAAAATCCGAAATTCTTGCAAAACGTTCAGCTAACATTTGAAAGAGAAAAGGGATGAAGAAACGGCAATGTGGACAGATGGCTGTAAAATTCTCTGGGAATTTAAGTGTCTTGTAATTAAAAACTTACAAAGGACTTCTGCAATAGTCATAACAGTGTCATTGGAAATGGTTTGAGTACTGAAGAAGAATCATAATAAAACACTGGAAAGGGGAAAAAAAATTTCTCCTGCCATGCAGATATTTCTATCATAATTGTGTGTGTTTTTTCCCAACATCCATTTCTGGGAGATTTGAGGAAAAATATCAGCCAGAGAGACCCATTCCCTAGCTGCAATTTGAAACACACAGAGAGAGCCACTTTGAACGAGATAGTAAAAAAACTTTCTACCCTAGTTTGGCTCTTGCACTTGAAGCTACTACATCATCTGAATGGGATATTTGACAGCACAAATCAGATCATTATTCTCAGCAAACATCCAAATACTGGTAAAAGAAGGGATCCTTGAATGTGTGTCACAGACAAGGCAGTAGAGAGCTGTCATTTGCATGAGGTGAACGGTCTCTTGCTGTTAAATGAAATATCTTTAGTAAAAGTTATCCCAACGTGATTTTGCATTGTGTTGTCTGTTTAGGTGACAGTGATCCAGTTTCAATGATGAGCAGTTTAGACAGTAAGTAATCCAAAGCTTCCATGATGGGGCTCTCCGGGAGTGGTGGTGAATAATGATTTAAATAATGACATTATCTCATAGATCAGTGGTTCTCAACCTGTGGGTCGGGACCCCATTTGGGGTCGAACGACCATTTCACGGGGGTCGCCAAACAACACAGTCCACCATTTTTTCCCCCTTTTCCTTAGCTGTGCTACTCCCTTTTATTCTATTGGCTTTTGAAAGCCAATAGAATAGACTCTCTTGAATAGAGTCTAATTCTATTGGCTTTCAAAAGCCAATAGGAATTGTCCAGGCTGTCTCTGCCCTGCTGAGCCCACCAAAAGTCCCTGTCTGCAAACGGTGCTGCACCAGTTGAGTAGTCCTCGACTTACGACCGGTTGGGGGGTCATGGCATTAAAAAGGTTGAGAACCACTGTCTTAACAGAACAAGCCAGGTAAATGAACCTTAAAGCAAAAATGCAGAAAGCTTGGAGATAGCTGAGTTTTAGATGACATATGAGAGAAAGAATGAATTGAGTAGTCCTCAACTTACGACCGGTTGGGGGTCGCAGCATTAAAAAGGTTGAGAACCACTGTCATAGTTGGTTGTCTATGGAAATTCTCAGTCATCCAGGTCATGGTTGCCCCAAAGGTGCTTTTTCAAAAGGCCACTGGACTTTGTTTTTCCTTGAAGAATTTTTGCTTCTCATCCAAGAAGCATCTTCAGTTCCAACTGAATGGTGGAGGATGGAAGGATTTATATTCCTTGCGGTCATTGGGTCATTCTTGGATGAAAAGCAAAACCTCTTCAAGGAAAACCAAGAAAATCTAGTTGCTTTTTGAAAAAGCATCTTTGGGATGACAACAACAACCTGAACAACAACAATAATAATAAAAGTTGGAAGGGACCTTGGTGGTCATCTAGTCCAACCCCCTGCTCAGGCAGGAAACCCTATACCATTTCAGACAAATGGCTGTCCAGTCTCTTCTTAAAAACTGCCAGTGTTGGAGCATCCACAACTTCTGGAGGCAAGTTGTTCCACTGGTTAATTGTTCTAACTGTCAGGAAATTCCTCCTTAGTTTTAGGTTGCTTTTCTCCTTCATGAGTTTCCATCCGTTGCTTCTTGTCCTGCCTTCAGACGCTTTGGAAAATAGCTTAACTCCCTCTTCTTTGGGGCAGCCCCTGAGATATTGGAACACTGCTATCATGTGACTGAGAATCTCCATAAACATTTTCCTTGAAGATGTTTCGCTTCTCATCCAAGAAGCTTCTTCAGTTCCAACTGAATGGTGGAGGATGGAAAGATTTATATTCCTTGCGGTCATCTGGTTACTAGCACTCTTTCTGAGAGTTGTTGAGGCCATTTGGAAGCTTACCTGTGTCCTCAGAGTAATTACAACACAAGAAGGTCCCACACCCATTTGTTCTATTCAGGTGACCCTGAGGGCACAGATAAGCCCCCAAGTGACCTCAAGAGCTGTCAGAAAGAGTACTAGTGACCAGATGACTCCTGTCATATAAATCCTTCTCATCTTGGATGAGAAGCGAAACGTCTTCAAAGAAAATAACGAAGTCCAATTTCCTTTCGAAAAAACACTTTTGGGATATCTCATAGATGACAACTTATTTACTTGTGCCTGACATCATGATTCCATGATGATGATGATGATGATGATGATATGTTATTGTTTTTATGACTGGGCTTGGTTATGGATCTAACCCTAAGTGGCCTTTATGTTAGTCCAATAAACTAGAATTATGGAACCCAGTGTAACTGAGAAGACTCTAGACAAAATTATCTTATTATTTTCCTTATGATGCAGCAACAACTTTCTGAAAAATATTTTAAGCCTAAGCTGTTATGTTATGGCTGGTTATCTTTTTCTTATCCTATTAAGAACTACGTGGTGCTGGACACTGTTGATTTCAGACAATTTAATACAGGAGTCATTAGAGGTTTACAGAATATATGGGGGGGAAATTCTTTGGTTATTCATTATTATTATTTTTAGGAGTTTTTGAACATAGTTCTATAAAGTGCTCAGTGTGGTGAATTTTCATTTGGGGATTCTACGGTATGTAACTCGATCGATGATCAATATTTCAGTTCCTATCATTCCGTGTGCTTCGACTAAGCATCTAAGAGTTGTTAATGGAATCCCTACGCAACCTGATAAGGGATGGATGGTCAGCTTGAAAGACAGGTAAGAACCGGGGCACAGATCTCTTCCCTGGGTGGATTCCCTCTGAAATGAAAATTGTGCGTCAGATGATTTTTGAGATCTAGAAAGGCCAGTTATTCCCTGTGGCGCAGCTAAAGTTTTTCACATTCTTCCTTCAAGAAGCCAATGGTTCACTCTTGAGGATCAATTATCCAAGGACCATTTCTCAGGTGGACCATCCCAATCATCTATGGAGATTGTGAGTCATCCAGGTCATGGTTGTCCCCTAAAGGTGCTTTTTCAAGAGGCAAGTGGACTTCCTTTGTTTTTCTGTGAAGACATTTTGCTTCTCATCCAAGAAGCTTCTTCAGCTCTGACTGGATGGTGAGGAATGGATCCCTTCAGTCAGAGCTAAAGAAGCTTCTTGGATGAGAAGCGAAACATCTTCAAGGAAAAACAAGGAAGTCCAGTTGCCTCCTGAAAAACCACCTTTGGGATGACCATTCCAATCCTTTCTCAATTAATGTCTTAGGTATTGTCTAGTTCTGTCCAGGCATCCGAATTAGCAACCCCATCTTAAATTTTGGACATTAAAATTGTCCTCTTGGTTAACGTCAAAGAAGCAAGCAAAACCGGGTTCCATCAATGGCTGAAGTAAAATGTAATACAGGTAGTCCTTAACTTACAACAGTTCATTTAGTGACCATTTGAAGTTACAACAGCACTGAAGTGATGTATGACTTTTTCACACTGTTGCATCATCCCCAGGGTCACGTGATCAAACAATTCAGACGTTTGGCAACTGGTTCATATTTATGACGGTCGCAGTGTCCCTGGGGTCATGTGATTCCCTTTTGTGACCTTCTGACACGCAAAGTCAATGGGGAAGCCAGATTTACTTAATGGCCCTGTTACTAATTTAGCAACTGCAGTTAGTCACGTAACAACTGTGACAAGAAAGGTCGTAAAATAGGGCAAAATTCAAAATTAACAACTGTCTCGCTCTAGCAACATAAATTTTGGGCTCAGTTGTGGTGGTAAGTCGAGGACTCCCTGTAGATTCAGTACAAACGATATGATATAAATGTGAATTTTATATTAGCAGATTGTCCCCCCCCAAATAACTGTTTGTTCATTGGGTTTTTTTCCAGCAGAGGCAGACATTTTTGTGGAGGTTCACTGGTGAAAGAAGATTGGGTCCTGACAGCCAAACAGTGTTTTCTCTCTCGGTATCTATTTCAATTTTTTACAAGAGCTTTGCAATAGGATCATACCTTTTACAGTTTTGTCCTTGGGTAGAAATGCTGAATTTCTGACATCGCAAAAAAGGAAAGGAGAGAGAAACATTAAACTATTCCCAACTTTTATGCAATGCAACCCTGGAAAATCCAGAGCCTTTGAACAGAGAACCATTATTTTAGTTTGTGATGGTGGCGAATATCTGCAGCTCGGATGGAGGATGAGGGTGGAGGTTCATTTTCCGAGTGTCATGGTTCCGATAGAGGAGACCAGTAGAAATTAGAACTCTGAGGCATTTGCTTTCCTCAAAGAACACATTTAATGGCTACACAGTATCAGCACGAACAAAGGTGAAACCAAGACTGAAAGTCCTCCCCCCAAGGTTACAAAATAACAAGTTAAACTTCCCACCCCTGCAGTGTGTCATAAATCACAATCCCCAATTAGCTACTTTGGTGGGCTTTCTAAGGGTAGCTTCAGCCAGCCAAAACTGAGGTAACTTGACCTTGGTTCCCACAGAACAATTTATTGTTATGTCTAAACTAAGAGAATACATCTCTCTTCTCCCATTATTGTGGCAACCAAAAACGAAGTGAAGATGGCTGCAGACAAATTTGTTTGAAGGTTGACACCGAGATTGTGGGTTGGTTTCAGAACATTTTATTACCAGGCTACATAACATCTTCAGGGGACTTTGTGCAGTCAGTAGGTCTTGTGATGGAAGGGTCACGTCAGGTGAGAGTCTAGTGATGGGTCTTATATAGTTCAGGTGTGGGTCACATCAAGTGGGGGGTCTTGTGATGATGGGTCAGGTATGGGTTGTGTCAATTGAGGGTTTTGTGATGGAAATGTTCTGTTTTTCTAGATGAATCCATATCTAGAGAAGTCTCCTTTTTCTTGTGAGGAACGACTTAGGAATTGAACATATTTTTATTCCGTAAGGGTAGGGTTTGAACTATTTGCACTAGTGTTGTTATTTCAATGTCTGCTCAGAGTAAAAATCCAGGAGGTTTGTACAGATGGCACAGACTTTACAGTGTGAACCGTTGGAACAGTTCCAGTCTCCACTTTGGGAGACTAAAATATAGGGCAACGATCTGATCTCATGAGTTCTGTGATTTATTTTGTTTGGGGGATGAACTGACCCCTGCTTTAGCTACCTTTGTTTAAATTGAGCAACGGTTATCTAAATAGATCATGACAAAGCAAATAAGCAGAGTAAGCAGCCTGTGGAGACCAGTCTATCTAATCTATCTTCCATCCTGGTTTATTATTTTATTGACCCATAATCCAATTGCTGATTACATTTGCTTTCTTTAGGCATAATCTCAAAGACTATCAGGCTTGGCTTGGAATCCATAATGTGGAAAGAGCTCATGAAGAAAAACATAAGCAAGTTCTGAATATTTCCCAGTTGGTCTATGGGCCTGAAGGATCTGATATAGTATTATTAAAACTTTCCAGGTGGGTTGCAGTTATGATAATATTTCATAGGCAATTATCTGTTTGCTGGGGTTAATATTAGGGTGAAATCATGCTACTGAACGGAGCTGAAGCCTTTAAGTCACATTCAATCATGAGGAGTGTTTACCAGGTGTGTCCAAAAAAAGTCAAATTGTCATTCACAATATCACAAAGAGTACAGGGAAGAGCAACAAATATGATTAGGGAACTAGAGGCTAAAACATATGAAGAACAGTTGCAGGAAATGGATACATCTGGTTTGATGAAAAGAAGGACTAGGGGTGATATAATAAGTGAATAAAAAAGCCAAATCCATTCTAAACATCTGGCTGACATGAGAATCTAACCTTCATCTGATCTGAAAAGATATCTTACATTTGCCTACTTATTCCTATAAATGCCCATGTCTAAAAAATAACATTTCCCCCTTCTTTTTTTAGACCTGCAGTAAGCAACAATGCTGTAGCTATAATCCGCCTCCCCATTTCTGGTTGCACCATTCCAGATGGGACCACCTGCAGTGTTTATGGATGGGGGCACACAGGAAGTGAGTAACTCTAAATGACTTCAAATAATCATCCTATTAAGTAGGTTGTTCATTTAAATACCTAGACATAGACTTTCATAGCATCATTTCAATTGATTAATATATATATATTAATATATATATATATATATATATATATATATATATATATATATATATATATATATTAATCAACAGAATTTCATTTTAATGTGGGCCAGTGCGTTCACAATTTAAAAATGACAATAGAGCTCTCCTCTCCTCTCCTCTTTCTCCTCTGCTCTCCTCTCCTCTCCTCTCCTCTTTCTCCTCTGCTCTCCTCTCCTCTTTCTCCTCTCCTCTCCTCTCCTCTCCTCTCCTCTTTCTCCTCTCCTCTCCTCTCCTCTTTCTCCTCTGCTCTGCTCTGCTCTCCTCTCCTCTTCTTTCTCTTCTCTCCATCTTCCTATCCTATATTCTATTCTATCCTATTCTGCATTCTATTCTATCCCATTCCTTATTCTATCCCATTCCCTATCCTATCCTATCCTATCCTATCCTATCCTATCCTGCATTCTCTTCTCTTCTCTTCTCTTCTCTTCTCTTCTCTTCTCTTCTCTTCCTCATGTCATCTCATGTCATCCCATCCCATCCTATTCTATCCTATATGGGAGTAGGGTGTGCTTAAGAGAAAGTATATCTTTTGGGGACATTGATCGTGACTTGATAATCCCTAATCAATCAACCAATGAGATGGAGTAAAGAACAGTCATTTCTCTTCAACATTTCAGCAAGAAATTTTGACGGGCAACTTCAGGAAGCAAATATGATCATTATGGGGAATGAACGCTGCAATCAAGATTTTGGAGGAAACGTAGTGCCGAAGGAATCAGAAATGTGTGCTCGAGCTGAGAGCATCGGCAGTGGAACTTGTGAGGTACAATTTATCCTCCAGATGTTTTAACATCTTTGTTGCTCTTTTTTTGCACATTTTCTAGGGTCTCAGCAACTTGTTTGTGTCATACACAGAACTGTACACAGTATTCCAAGTGAGATTTCTCTAGTGTGGTTCTAATCCATTTCCTCCCAATCATTCATATGGAATTTTCTGTAAATACAACGGGGTTAAAAATCTGTAAGATAACCTCTTTCATGTTTAAATAAGTAGAATTTATTTTTCATGTCAAGTCACCAATGGAGGGCATGAATGTAGAAAACTGCATCTTCTGACTCCCATCAAGAGATGGAAGGACACAACATTTGTATAAGATACATTTGGATGTGGTTTATTTTGCCATCACTGCCCCCAGCCCAATTCAGATTAAAAGTGATCTTGTTGGTTGACTGAACAGAACAGAATTGGAAGGGACCTTGGATTCTTCTAGTCCAGGGGTCTTCAAACTTGGCTTTTTTATGATTTGTGGACTTCAACTCCCAGAATTCCTCAGCCAGGCATGCTGACTGAGGAATTCTGGGAGTTGAAGTCCACAAGTAATAAAAGGGCCAAGTTTGAAGACCCCTGTTCTAGTCCAACCCCCTGCTCAAGCTGGAGTCTCTATACTATTTCAGACAAATGGTTGTCTAATCTCTTCTTCAAAACCTCCAGTGTTGGAGCATCCACAGCTTCTGAAAGTAAGCTGTTCCACTGGTTGATTGTCCTCACTATCAGGAAATTTCTCCTTAGTTCTAGGTTGGTTCTCTCCTTAATTAGCTTCCATCCATTGCTTCTTGTCCTGCCTTCAGGTGCTTTGGAGAATAGGTTGAGTCCCTTTTTTGTGTGGCAGCCCTGGAAATATTGGAACACTGCTATCATATCATCCCTAGTCCTATGAATGTATGATAATAGAACAGTCTTAGAATCTATGAGAGATCTACCAAGGTTAATTTCCCATCAAGGGCTCCTGAGCTAATGTTATACATACAACTGGCAAATCCTTCCTTATTTTACAAGGGACGTTTCTTGTCTTAATCTCTCTTCCCATAAACGCATCGATGTGATTTTTCTGTTTTTCTCTTTCCAGCGGGATTACGGTGGACCACTGGTCTGCGAGCAGAATAGAATTAAGATTGTGGTGGGGGTGATCATCCCTGGACGAGGATGTGCGGTTCCCAAACGGCCTGGGATTTTCGTCAAGGTGGCCTATTACTCCAAATGGATACATAAGATCTTAATGACGTACAGGTCATAGCCGAAGAACCCTGCCAAGGAAAAAAAAATGCCAATTTTAGGGACATTGGAGGAAGGTGGGAAACTGCATTGTAATAGAAAAAAACCTGGACTTTTCTTTTTTTTTTTTTTTTTTGAAAAAAAAATGTCATCCATCAAATATTTACTTGATAATAGTCAGGTTTAACAGGTATCTGTGGCTCTTCCTGTCCCATTCTGCCGCTGGCTGCATCGTGTGGGGTAAGCAAAATGTGGTGACTTATTTCCTGAATATACTTGAATAGGAAAGCAAATCTGCTAATATGGTGGTTGGATAAATGCACATTCTCTATAATTAGCCAAGTTGTTTTTCTTCTTCTTCTTCTTCTGGGCTGCTTGTTAATGAGACATAAACATTCTTTTCAATTTTCAATATTGTTCGTTACCTACAACCCACTCTGAATTTATCTTTAAGATGCCATAAAATATATGTACAGGTTCAGGGACAGCGTCATCTCTTTATTGTTTATATGTGTGTTGATTCCTTTATCAGTGGCTTTCTGGATGTGCAACCCAGGGGAGCAATGAATTCACAAAGTCTATTCCATCCTAATAGTGAAAGTCATCCCTACAAAGAGAATGTAATTTTTCTAGAGGTGTCCATAAATGGATACCAACATGGGTATAAGTTCTACTAGCTTTCTATGTCCAAGGTTGTTTTTACTCTGACAGCCATCTCCTTCTTCATTAATGCAATTACATATAGAAATGAAGAACCACCATTAGGAAGTAGGGTGGAAAACAGCAAACATCTAGTTAGACTTATCTAAAGGGCTTCTTTGGAAACTAAGCATATTGTTTCCTTTAAGCAAAATTTGGCTCTTATTGTTTTGGACCAGGGGTCTTCAAAAGTTGGCCCTTTGATGACTTATGGACTTCAACTCCCAGAATTCCTCAACCAGCATGCCTGGCTGAGGAATTCTGGGAGTTGAAGTCCACAAGTCATAAAAGGGCCAAGTTTGAAGACCCCTGTTTTGGACCTAGAAATTTCAACCCACCCCATTTCTCTTTGTTCAGCTATTGCTTCTCCTCTAGAACGTAAACTTTCTAAACAACTTTGCCTTCTAAATGTTCTGCCACTATCTCTGGCCTTTTGGCTGTAAGTTATTATTCATTCACTCATTTGTTCCAGCGCTCCTTCATATTTGCCAGTCTTCTGCACAAAATTCTAAATCTGAATATACAGTAAACCTAGGATTTGGGGTTGGAGAAAAAGCAGGGGATGGTTGGGAGTTTACTAAGCAGCTGATCATCCCATTATATAATATATAAAATTTCAAATTATGCCACAGAAATGGTTAGTGCACCAATATCCCTTACCTACTATCCCTTTAAAATTCTACCAGATCAAGAATGCTTACCCTCAGCTAAAACCCTTATTTTACAGTCACGTTCCCAACAAAAGCCATCATGGAACTGATCATTTTAATCTAGCATAAAATAAAATACCTTGATCTTTTTTAACGAGAATTTAGAATCAGAGTGATTTAAAAAAAAACAAAAACCCAACCATCCATTTTTTGAAAGAGCTGTGTTGTGTTTTCTTCAGCGTATTTACTTCAGTTTGCATTCGTGTCCTGGAAGACTGTTTTCAGATTTTTAGAAGCACACAAATGTTTATTGTATAGAAAAAACTCCTGTTCTCCCAGGGGCATATTGAGAGTCATCGCTAACCTTAGTTCTCTTGCGCCTCTATCTGTATAATACATGGATTTTCCAATCTGTCGTTCTTGCATCCACATTTTAAATATGTTCTAAACGTGCATTTCTATATGTAAGGTGTGAAGCATTCCATAATTTTTAGTTCAGTTGTACCTATTACACTAAGTTCCTGGTATATGGATGCCCTATTATATTAGCTGTTTAATATCAGCACAGGGAGACAAATATCAACTAATGAGGTCTAGAAGGCTTTTGTGTATTTTTGCTGGCCTTTTGTTCAAAGGACTTGTAATTAATTATCTGGCGGCATATTCAGAACTTTATGAGAACTAAAATATCTTAAATTCAAAATGGGGTTGTAGCAATTAATGAAAGTCATGTTTCCAATACTTAGTGTGAACTTACGTTTTCCAGTTCTGAACTAGAATATAATCCAATACAAGGTAGATCTAAATTTTACTTTAGTCAGGTTTTTTTTTTTAAAAAAAGCTTGAGTAAATTACTGTTACTTTTCCAAACTGTAAGATATTTTGCAAATGTTTTCCCTCTCTGCCTCCCTATCCCTCTTCAATTGTATATATTTGTATGATGTACATGAAAAGAATATTCATGACACTATAAATGTAATTTGTTTTGCTTTCCCCCCCTCAAGGTTTATGTATTCTCTGTAATATGTGAAGGCATTTTGTATTATGTACGCAGGCCTTTCTGTTCAGTGTAATAAAAATTATTCTGAAATATTATAAGCTTCTGCTGGGCAGAAGACAATATGAATTTATATATAAAATATGTATAGGGGTATTATTACATTATATGTAAGGCTTCTTGGGACATTTGCTGTGAGTTGAGACTCATTAGAATGATTTTATAGACTTGACTACTTATAAAATTTCTGGCACCTCCAACCATCTTCTGGAATTCATTAATCTTTTAATATACTGTCCTGTGGAGAAATGTAATACATGTCCTTGAGATCACAGGGATTGTGTACACACACACACACACACACACACACACACACACAGTCACAGATTAATCTGAGATGCATAGATTATTGTGAACTTTCTCAATTCATGCAACTGAGGCTTAGAAGCGTTCAAAAGCCTCTAATGTTGGAATTCAAAGAATACATTATTTCCACTTTCTTCCTGTTAATTGCAGACTTCATTGTAGTAATCACTACACTTACAGTGAAAGAATCACGGAAGGCTGTAAGTGAAGTAAGGATTAGTCGGCTTGGACCTGTTACAAGGTCCATGCGTAGAGTTTAGGTGTGGCTATGCTTATAAGCAGGTTTCCTCACTAGCTAGCTTGTATCCTGACGAAGATGGCAGATGCTAGCCATCGAAAGCTTGATTTTATTTATTAAAACCTTGGTGTTTTATTTCCTGGTGATCACTTCCTTTTTTATTGAAATATATAGCTTAGTGCTTCTAGGAGCAAATTGCTAGAAGCACAAAGCTGAAAACACCAGCCTGAAGATGACAAATGGGACTTCGTCGAAACATCACCAATTTTACGCAGGAGAATACCCGAATAACCAAAGACATATATATATGTATATATACATATGTATATGTATATATACATACACACACACACACACACACACACACACACACACACACACATACATATATATATACATATGTATATATGTGTGCGTGTGTGTATGTATATATATATCCAGCATCTATGTTCAGCCTAGAATACTTTTATCAGATATGAACAGCCAGGCTGTTTAAATTGGATAGGTAAAAATATTACAGGATAACAAGAAATGTGGTTACTATTAGGAGGATACCATAGCAAAACATTTGGGAAAAACACGAACAATCCTTTCATGTTGCTGTACATTTTTACAGTGTGACAATCTCCCACATAATAACCCTGTAATGTTGGGATTTTGAAAACTGTGCTTTGAAGAACTTTGATGCCTGCCTGTATTCAAGATTTCCTCCCCCCCAACATCATTTTTTTTTGCTTCATGCTGAAAGTGTATTTTTCACGCCGCTGGGAAAAAGCCAGACGCTTAAAGACCACCCCACATCCTTCAATGGACCTATGATGCAGAAGCAAATTGAACAAATTTATCCATCTCCAGCAAACCATTTAAAAGTCAAAGGTTTTTTCTTTTTTTTTCCAGAGGGCTGCCCTGTTTTATGTGGTGGAAACCTGCCTTTGGCTGGCATGCAGCCTGGTTTTCTGATGTTTATTCCATAAGCACTTCTGGTAATACAAGAGCCAGGTGGCAGGTTTTATAAGATCCATGTGCAGCCTTTGACCAGCTTCTTTGAGGCTTCCATGATCACCGTTTGCTATCCAGAGATTACTTACCATCCAAGTTTTGTTGGCTACATGTTTTTCTCCTCTGCCTACACTTACTAATTTGGCATAGTTTGGCATCTCGCCTCCCTCCTGTTTTGTCTCAATGGCTTGGGTACCAGCCTGCTTTCCTTTGTTTAAAGTTAAATCACCTCTCTTTTATTTTAAAGAAGATTCAAAATGTTCCACAAATGAAGTAGCTATTGAAGAAGAGAAGAACCTGTGTTCTTTGCAGCTTTAAAGTGGCTGAATGTAAAACCTGTGAGTCTCTATTTGTTATATGTTACTTAGAGACACTCTATGATTGCTTTAAGATAAAAACTTGGCATCCAGTTTTGGTCACCACGATGTAAAAAAGATGTTGAGACTCTACAAAGAGTGCAGAGAAGAGCAACAAAGATGATCAGGGTACTGGAGGCTAAAACGTATAAGGAACGGTTGCTGGAATTAGGTATGTCTAGTTTAATGAAGAGAAGGACGAGGGGGGACATGATAGCAGCCTTCCAATATCTCAAATGGCTGTTTATATCTGGTGAGTTTCAATAAGGACAAAACAATTGTGTACCGATTCCTCCTGATGATTGTTTAGTTTGTTGATTAGGAGTATGATGGGAGTTAAACTTACCATTCTTCCTGGTGACTTAGAACAGCAAAAGCAGAGAAAAATAAACTACTTTTTATATTCTATTGCATGTGGGTTTTTTTTATTTTTTATTTTTGATGTCCTACAACAATAAAAACAACATGGGAATCCAGCCCTTTGAAAATAAAAGTGGCGCTTACTCAAAAGTCAATCTGCAGATCTGAAAACCTTGTGCCCGTGGGAATAGCTTCATTAACTTTATTTGGAGTGAACTTAAACAGCATTAGCATGTTTCCCCCCCCCCTCCCCAGATTTTCTTCTTGGAATAGCACTCCAGCTAGTTTAAATTGTGTCAGTCTCCCCCTAACACATAAATGGTGGCCTAATAAGCACCGATCTCTTTCATCCGCCATACTCCTTGGGGAGGAAGTGATTATGATTAGGAGGATGAGAGCATCTCATTGTGGTATGCAATGTCCTAAATCCCGCTAGCAAATTGCTGGGGTGATTAAAAAAAAGAGCCAGGCTTTATAGTTCAGGCATCTGCCAGTCTTGTTTCAGAGCTTTCTATGATGTGGACATTTCTGGTCGGGAAAGCCTAGTGTGATACTAGTAATAGTAGTAAGGTTGGAAGGGACCTTGGAGGTCATCTAGTCCAACCCCCTGCTCAGGCAGGAAACCCTATACCATTTCGGACAAATGGCTGTCCAGTCTCTTCTTAAAAACTTCCAGTGTTGGAGCATTTACTGCTTCTGGAGGCAGGCGGTTCCACTGATTAATTGTTCTCACTGTCAGGAAGTTTCTCCTTAGTTCTAGGTTGCTCCTCTCCTTGATTAGTTTCCACCCGTTGCTTCTTGTCCTGCCTTCAGGTGCTTTGGAAAATAGCTTAATTCCCTCTTCTTTATGGCAGCCCCTGAGATATTGGAACACTGCTATCATGTCCCCCCTTGTTCTTCTCTTTGTTAAACTAGACATACCCAATTCTAGCAACCGTTCCTTATATGTTTTAGCCTCCAGTCCCCTAATCATCTTTGTTGCTCTTCTCTGTACTAATACCAAGGTCAATGAGAGGAGAAGCAGAAACAATCCAGGATTAAAATAAAGAGGTAGAAGATAAGATGAGGTCAAGCGTGTCATTAGTCGTGAGTCCCTTTATGGCCACAAGTCCAGCCCACCTTGAATTCCATTGACTCTTATCTACCACCAATTTGCTTTAACTATTAGTAATTCAGATTCTTATCGAGAGCACCAGCATACAATTAACCTACATTCTTTTTTTTTTTTTAATTGTATTGGTTTTTTAACAATAACCATCTCCAATGCCTGGTGTACAGTGTGTTGTCTTGGTTTATATATTTGAGGGGGAAAATCAATAATAATTAATTAACAATCAATAATGATTGAATTTGATAATTACACAATTAGTATATTAATTAATAATATATTTCCTTGATCTTCCCCTCTCCCATTTGTATTCTCCCCCTTCAACCTTAAACAAATTGTAATTCTTAATATTTTCAATATATAAATGATTAAATATAGACATTATTTCACATTTGCACGGGTAATGATAACATCGATGTATAACAAGTGCCCCAAAACCGCCCCTGACCCGCTCCGCCTCCAGCCCCGTCCCTGTCCCACCTACCCGCAGGGCCACCCATCACCCCAGCAGATTGCCCAGGCAGCCCAGCAACGCCTTGGCGGCCACACCCTCTGCCCATGCCCCATAATATCATCTGCACATGACAGGGTGTGAGGGCGGAGTCTTGTCCCCGCTGCCCGGCTGCCATGTCCTTGACTGCGCTGCTCTGTGCAGGCCACTCCTGGGGATGACTCTCCTCTGGGGAGCTGCTGGTGAGGAAGAGGATGCAGGGCTGGGGTGACAACACGTGCCCACAGAGAGGGCTCTGAGTGCCCCCTCTGGCATGCGTGCCATAGATCGGCCACCACTGGTATAGGGTCTCCTGCTTGAGCAGGGGGTTGGACTAGAAGACCTCCAAGGTCCCTTCCAGCTCTATTATTCTATTATTAATTAATTAATCTAATGGGTCATGAGGGGTTCACATCTGGGGCGTGGAAACGGCCGGCGAGCGTGCACATGCCCATCCTCCTTTGTTCAAACAGTGGGTGAGCGTGTCCATGCACGTTTCATTTGTATGAGCAGCAGGTGCACATGCACACCACTCATGCAAATGGAACTGCATACACACTCTTGCCAGCCAGTTGTGTGAACCATCCGCTACCTCACTCCCGCAGGCCTGCGGAGCCGTAAATGATGGGGAACTCTGGACTAGAACACCACCGAGGTCGCTTCCAGCTCTATTCTGATTGATCGAGCTTCATATTAATCTTGCCAAATTAAATCAAACTGCCACCCACATACTTTGAGGAAAAAGTACTTTTTAGAAAAAATAAGGCCTGTCCATAGAAAATAACACGCATGACTGCTAGTCCACATGGTCTCCTTTAATTTTCGGTCAATCGTAGCTGGAGTGGTGTGTTGGCCTTGACCCAAGGAAAGCAAACCTTAGTTGCGTATAATATACATCTCTCCGCATGTGTTTGTGTGTGTTGCAGGGAGCTAGCTGATGTGTGGTTAGACAAGGCAGTAATGAGAAATCCAGAAATGCATCTGAGGTTCTGTTTCAGTTCAAAGGCACTAAGTACTCAAATGTGCATTTTGTCAAAATGTGCTACGGGGTCTCATGGCGCTAATTCAGTCTTAAACACAAGTTTCTGCGCTGGGTCAGGACAGTTTTGGAATAAATAGCCATCTCCCTTCAAGCTTCTGCTATTAAAATATGTTCTGGAAAAGGATAATCTGTGACTAAGGAAATAGCCTTCAAGATCATGGCAGGGCTTTGGAACCAATAGCAGACATATATATATATAAGATTATATATATATATATAATCACAAATGCTTAATATTTTATCAGCAACATATTGTCAGGGTTTCCAACATTTAACTTACTAATACATGTTAAATTCCTTT